AGTTGGGCAGTCAGGGAAACATAGAGAGAGATGAATATAAGCTCTCAGTGACTGTTCCGGAGGGACTGTACCAAACGACAGGGTAATAGTATTTTGCGAAGCTCCTCAGCACTTCTCTATAGATAAGAACTATCAAATACCGATACCAAACAAACCAGACGATCCATTGCCAAAGAAAAATGGCCTTCAAATTAGTCAAAAATCGTCTTATCGAATGGCAGACACATGCTCAAGAAACTCGGCGTCATTACATCGACTAAAGTTACATGCGAATATTTCAAAGAATTGGCATCAGGGTGTAGATACTCCCCATTCCCGGATCGACAAATGAACGCACTCAAACAAAATTCCCAGACACAGATAATCTCCACTTCCTTGTGCTTGTGCCCCGCCAGGACTTACATTTTTTGTGCTCCTCCCAGAGAGACTTTTAATTAAATGTGATATGCTTGGTGGGAAATACGAGAATGTTCATTTAAATGCCACCCCAAAGGACCAACAATTCTGACAGAAATATATCAATTAGTGAATGAATGAGAAATATGTTTTCCCGACGAAAATGACAGAAGCCAATAGATTTTGGTTTGCGGGAAATCAATTAAATATTTTGTGTAAAGTTTAATTGCTTTCGGCCGGCCACAGCACGCAGACAATAGAACTGGGGGATAAGCACGGGGATATAGAGACGGAGAAAATTGTTTCCAACATTGTTACTTTACTTTCACTTGGCAAATGAGAATTTATGACTTTGTTTTCGAAGGCGAAGGCGGTGGCGGAGGTGGAGGCATAGGCTCCAGGGCGTTCGTGTCCGTCCGAATAGCCATAATTGAAGAAAATTAAGCCAGAAGCCAAACAGTGCCATTTTCAAATGAATGTTCAAGTCTCGAAATCAAAATGAATAAATTTCTTCCATTGAAGGGCCCAAAGAAGGGAACATAAGTACTCTGTAGTGCCTGGAACCAGGAAGACCAGATCTCAAAGAATGTTACCCCAAGCCCATTATAAGTTCATATGTACTCCCGTGCAGTATTTCAAATTGGGAGAGGGTATGAGAGGCCAGAAGGTGATGTTCCGATAGTTCGATGGAGTAATGGAGGAGCAGGAACTAAACATTTCCCTACCGTACACCTCTTTCAAACTTATCCTGTCAGAAATGTATTAATATATTCATACTTGATATTTATTCGAAGCATCAAAATTTCTACAAAATTGTACAGAACTCAATTACAGACACGCTCCAGTGCCCGCAGATAAAATGACCAGCTGCCCGGAAAGCAACGAGACCTTTTCGGCCTCCGTCACATATAATAGACGGTGCCCCGAGCATGAGAACGAGAACGAGAACGAGAACGATAACGAGTACACCACGATCATCTTCGCCGATCGCGTTTTGAGTGTCCTCGGCCACCTGTGCATGAACGAGCTCTACTCGGACGTGTCGTTCGTGGTGGAGGGTCAGCGAGTGCCGGCCCACTGCATGATTCTGGCTGCGCGCTGTGAATACTTCCGCGCCCTGCTCTACGGGCCCTTGGCCGAGTCAAAGGAACGCCCAATACCGCTGCCGCAGGTGCCGTTGGAGGCATTCAAGGTAATCCTCGGCTATCTTTATTCGGGCGAGCTAAGAATCCCGAAGATGAACCTGGATGCCAGCGTCAAAGTACTAAGTCTGGCCAATATGTATTGCTTAGCGGAAGTCGAGTCAGTCGTAACGAAACATATGATTCAGAATCTGAAGACCAGCAACGTTTTAATGGTCCTGGATGAATCACGCCGATACAATCTGAACGAATTGGCCAAAGAGTGCCTCAAGCTCGTGGACCGCAATTCGTCCGATTTGCTAAAACACTATTCATTCCGAGTGCTGTCGAAGGAGTCCCTTGAGGAAGTGCTGAGGCGGGACACCTTCGTTGCTCCCGAGGTGGATATCTTTGGAGCTGTGTATAAATGGAGTCTCCTCAATCCGGACGTGGACATAAATTCGGTCGTATCGCTCGTGCGCCTCCCGCTCATGACGGTCGAGCATCTGTTGCGTGTGGTGCGTCCCACTAGAATCGTCGAGCCGGAAAAACTACTCGACGCGATCGCTAGTGGGATCGCCCCGGTGAATCTGCCATACCGTGCCGTAGTGTGTCCAGGGGTGGATGTTACCGCCTCCGAAAAGCATACGTACCGGTGGACAATCAACTCCAATGAGCTGTCGATCGAGCTGAGTTGCTGGTATAAAATCAACACACTTCATATTCTGGGTACATACGATCATACAGTCAACGCGCTAAGTTGCGCCGCGGAGGTCTCTTGCGACAGGATTCACTGGGAACGAGTGGGAAATGGCAGATTTCAACTATCGCAGACGTGGCAGATCATCCGTTTCCCCGCACAGGCGGTTCGCTCCGTTCGGATCGTGCATCCAGAGACCGGACGCAAAGATTTGATAAACTATGTTATGCAGCTCAAAGCCATCCTAGAGGACACTGTGCCCGAAGACCCAGTTGGCCAGTGCTTGACAGTGGAGACTCCGGTGTAAGGATCTGTTTCCTGACGTTCTGACGACTACCTGACAGATGAAAAGGAAGTGCCCAAACTGCCAACTTGCGGGAGGAAGATGTGGGCTCCCCCAATTTCCTGAGCTGGGAAAGTCCTCGCTGATCAACTATATAAGCACTGAGTTCGTTGTAGAAAGGTCTCTTGGCGCCTATTAATTCATGGGTATACAACTGAAACTCAAATAAATTAACTTCCCGCCGACATATATGCAGATAAATATATGTCAAATTATTTGCCTGTCAAAGACTTTTATCAGTGGCGATACAATGGTGACCCTAGGGGTCAGCTCGCTGTCCTGATGGCAAGCAAAAGAACTTCCTCTATTTATTTATTAAAATTCCTATGAGAACAAAACACATGTTCATCATACATATTGTTGGCAGAAATATAATTTATCCAACTCATTTTTTGCCACACAAAATTGAAAAAAAAAATGTAGAGTGCATCGCAAAGTCGGTAAAACTGCCCAAACGTTCTGCCTTGTTTTTCACCCCGAGTTGAGGCTTTCACTCAGCCGCATTTTCCAAATGAAATTAATGAAAATGCGACTGAGCGACAGAGCGACGCGTCGGCCGCAAAAATGGCAACCGGAAAGCGCAAATTTTCACGCGTCTAACGACACACACATGCACACACGCGTGCGCGTGTGTCACTAGAGCTTCTGTGAGTGTGTGGGCACGTCTCTTTGTGTGAGTTTATTTTAGTTGCGGCTCGACATTTTGCTCAACTTTTTGCGTCCTCCCGGGTGACGCCGCCTTTTGTTTGGCCGCGTCAAGGCGGAAGCCGAGCTCAGGGGCATGCGAGAGCACGGAAAGCGAGAAAATGCTGAAACTATGCTGTAATTTTATTGTGTGGAAAATATTCCAGCCTGTCGCATTCAGACCGCACACACAGTCAAAGCGAGGCAGCCAGCATATGTACATACATGTACCGGGGAAGGGGGCTAGAAGAACCGCTTGACCTTTATGACTTTTGCATTTGAAATATTCGCAGTATCGCTGTGTTCTCGCACAACTGGAATTATGAAAATTAAATATAATTTGTATAATTGTAATTGGTTTATGAAATTCATGATGAATTCGAAAATCTTTCATAGAAATTGTATGGTTCTGACTTGTCTGATAGCATATAGATCATCTGAATAGTTTCTCATCACTCCACGAAGGGAACAATACCCTTCCTTTTTCCACCAAAGCTTTTTGAGACATATCCAATGCATTTTATACGTAATCCGGTCTCCAATAGGTTCTATCCGCCGTGGTGTACCACAGAAAAAGGTGATTTACAAATATTACAGACCCTAAATGAGTGTAAACGGTGTAACAGCAGTTTAAATTATATTCTTTAGCTCGGGCATTACTCAGAATTAAGTGAAACTCTAATAACCTTTCTAACTTTAGGAATTTCTGGTCTAAAAACATTTAAAATATATTGTAATTTATCACAACTAATCCTTTATCAAAGTTTTTTGTTTATTTGTAGAACTCCCATCTGTAAGCCAAGCAGAAATGTTGCATGCTAAAAAGTTCTTGTTGTGCTCATGGGACTTCCGTTTCCGGTTGGGGGCCAAAGACCGGCAAATTTAGGTTTGCGGTGAGTGACAAAAACTTCCCAGGCTCCTGCTCATATAATATCCTGCTTCAGCCAAACATCCGGCAGACTCGACTCCTTAAAGCCATTAACCGGATAATGTGCCAATCACAATGTTGCTGTGTTGCTGTGTTTCTGTGAGAGCCATAAAACTTTATAAAGCGTACGAAATGGTCGGAGGCGTTCATGCTTTAAACCATCTACTGCGTTTGTGGACTAATAAAAGTTTTTGGGTGGGAAATTTAGCGAAAAGTTATCAGCTGCTTAACTCTGTCTGGTCTGCTATGGTCTGGTCTGTATCAGGTCTGTATAGTTCCCCCACATTGACTTTCCACACAAGTGGCAGCACCGCCACAACAGCGGCCACAGACAGACAGAGACATTGGGCGTTGGGGTTGTCTAAATATTTCGTAAACCATATTTCGTTTGAACAATTTCTGTTGGGGCTTGGGCGTGTGACGGAATTATGAAGACTTTATGATATTTTCTTTCGGATTAATCCAAGTGAAAGATCTCAAAAGCTGCCAAAAGGTTGATGCGGATGCCTTTAGATGCTCAAATCGCGGGAAAATTCTTTGGCTTTTTCCCTTTTGGTCCCTTTTTTTGGTCTTGCAGTTGCAGCTGTTGCTTTAACATCTTTTTATGGCCCTTCAAAGTTTATTTCCAAGTGTACTCCCCACTTTTTCGTTTGGGACCAACTGTTGCCAGGGGAAGCAAAACAAAAAGTTTCAAAATACAAATATAATAAAATTGCTTTTCCTTGTGAAAACCTCGTCATCGGTTAACAGATCATATTTGAAAGAGGTTTCCTTATATTTCAAGAACACCATTTGGTTAAAAGTGTTCAAAAATGAATTCTTTCTTACCTTATCTTTTAGTTTGAAGAAATACCAGTTGTGTAATGAATCGAAGGACTTTCATTCAGAACTATGAGACATTTCTTCTCTTTTCTGAAATGTGGAAAATGATTGTTAAAATATATTATTCATCTAAATCAATATATATTCGCTTTGGTGGGGAAATAAATAACTGAAATTATATAAAATTTTGGGAGAATTTACATTTTAAGTCCTAAATGATACGCAGCCCAGGAAATCATATTATTTCGTGTGGCTTTTGGTTTGGTTTGAGTTTCCCGGAACATCCTAAAACACTGTATATATATTCTGGTTCTCGCACTTCAATTTCTTTGGCTACGATACCCATTCCCATTGACACTTGCGGGGGCATTCTGTCATTCACGTTTGCACATAAATCCACTGAGAAGTCTGCAAAACAAACAAAAAATATACATACGTTACCCATGGGGAGTGTCAAAGTCCTGGCCAAGACGACTGTCGGTTGTGAAAGCCCGTTGGGGCCTTTGGGGGCGATTGACTGTCCTCTCCTGACCTGTCTATGATTTTTGCTGTTTGTGTCTTTTCGTTTGAGATTTTTGGGCTCCGCCCGGCAATAATTTTTAAAGTTTTTAACTCATTTGGCAATTTAAGAAATATGCACTCTCAAAGTCTATTTTAATTATGCAACACTTGGTGGCATGCTGCAGAGTGTAAATGAGCAATGGAAAAATGTGTATAAAAATTATAGGAAATCCGGCAAGAAAAAAATCCCCAGCCTGATGTGCACTGGGCACTCGGCCAAGCACCATTTGTGGCCACAATTTGCTCTCAACTAATATATATTTCGCAGTATATAGTATCCTGCATATATCCTGCAACTCCAAATAAATGCCCGCCACGATTCTGCCATTTTTATATGTAATTTATTTATGCGCAGTCATTTCGCTCTCAGGGCAAAAATTATGCTGCAGCCATATGAATATTGAATGGAGCGACGGACAGAATGGTTTTTGCTAAAGTTTCGAGCTTCAAAATTTGTTGCTGAAACGCTCGGGGGAACAAAAAAGGAAAAAAAATATACCAAAAATTAAAGAAAAACGACAGACCGAAGGATTGAATGCTCTTCCTTAAAGATGAATGATTTCCCTTACGAAAAATATATTTAAATGTGGAGTATTTTTTTGTGTTCTTTGAGAGCTATACAAATTCTGATTCTTTTTATGTTTTTAGCTTTTGTAGTTTCGAAAATGTCATATTACCCTCTTTGGAAGGGTACAAAAAAGTTACACCAGCCACGGTCGACGGCCCAAAAAGTATTCTTCACAAATGTCCCAAACGAAAGTTTTCTGGCGGCGAGTCCTGATGCCTTCAAGAGTTACTGCTTTTAGTTAACAGTTCAATGGAACTGATTAATTCCCTCAAGACCCAAAACAAAATCTGCCAGTATCTGGGCGAGGGGTGAAAGGGTGTCCAAAAAGTGTTCTCTTTTTATAAGTATTTGACCTTTGGTTTAGGAAAAAACAGCCACAGCTTTGGGAAACATTCGTGACGATGTTCCACGCTACTCAACAGAAGTATAATTCTGTTAAAGTCTTCTGGGGTTTTTGTAACCATAAAGACCTGTTTCCTAAGCACTGAACTATCTATTCGTTCCTCATTTTGGTTCAACAATAAGACGGCAACAAAGGGATGAAATTCATGGCACAAATTTTGCAGAATGCTGCCTGCAATGTACCCAAGGCATCCATCGGTCAAGTGCTATTAAAGTGAGCAATATGGCCAAGGTTGACCTGAAATTGTGGCACGGTCCGGTCCGGTCCGGTCCGCAGCACGTGCCACCCCACTGCGACCTGACATGGCTTTCGTTTTGTGTCAACAATGGCATGCACCATGCAGTCGGTCGACGTCGACGGCCCCACAGTCTCCCCGGGTTTTATGAGCCACATGGCCTGTGGCTTATTGCGCTCGTCTCATTTCCAGCATTTTGTCAAACAAAACAGTTTGCCATTTTCCGCACGAAATTCAATAAAGAACTCGAAAATTCCCACAGCACTTTCTTTTCTATTTTCTATTTTGTATCTATTATTTATTTGTAAATATAAATATATATTTTTTTTAATTCGAAGGAGTCACAAGTTTTTGGGGTAAAAACTTTAGATCTTCAAAAGTTTTTGTGTTTATGGGACGAAAATTTATGATGTTTTAATTAAACAATTTTATGATTGTGTTTTTGTGGTACTCGTCTCGTATCTCTTTCTCTCTCTCCAGCAGAGAAAACTTGATGGCCAAAAAACTACAAGTGAGTTTCTTGTGCTCGTTCGTCCAACTTTCGTGTAAATATTTGCAATTAAAATAAGTGACTCTCCCCAAAGTTCTCTGAGCGGGAAAATGGAAAAAGTTGTAGCCAGATATTCAGGGGATAATCTTTGGGAGTTGGTCTTTGCGGTTCAAACGGACATTAGATGTGGAACTGAAGTACTGCCATTCGATTGGAATTGAAAACCTGACCAAGACATTGAATTTCCCTGTTTATTTTCCACTTTCCCTCTACAAGAACGTGCTCTCTAACTCTCCAGCTCTTCTCGATGGCAATTTGAAATTCCATTATTCCCGAGAAAACAAAAACAAAAACCCAAAACGCTAGTCAAAAATGCAAGCACGTGCTTTGTTTGCTGAATGCCAGAAAAGAACTTTAAGTAATTAAATAATGCAAGCACAAAAATACTAAAGATAATAGAGGGAAAGGCCTGACGTTGGCCTAGAAAAATCCAGAAAAATCCAGAAAAATGTCACGCGACCGCAAAAGCGTGAGCATGAGCATGAGCATGAGCATTCTTTCAGCATAATTTATGAGGCAGCGGAAAGGGCGGAAGGGCCCCGGGACTCGGGCCGTAATCAACAAACAAGCAGAATACTTGTACGCACAAGTCGACACGTTGGGGAATATCAAAAAAGGAGGCAAACGGCAGAACGGAGCGCCGCGACATAAATCTACTTTGCATATGAAGATGAATATGCCCGGGCGATTTGAGTTATGTGCCGCGCGTTACGCATCCGCCATGTTGTCAGACAGATTGCCACAAAGTGGAAAACTCCTCCAAACTCTAATTCCGCGCTTTAAAGTCCATCGACTTGAATAGAAAACACTCGCAAGTTGTTTTCTCCTTTTTTTTGTACGAACGCGAGATGCATCGGGCGCACATGGCGTATGCTTTATTCATTCGCTTCATCCCCGGCTAAAGCTCAAACATCAAAGACCAGGGCAAGGCATAGGAAATTTATAGAATACAAAACTCAAGTATTTTTCAATGATTTGAGTTTAAGGAAACAAAAACCCGTTTCATATCTCTCTCTCCATCTCGCAAAAAAAAGGGTAAAATTTCAGGAAGGGTTAATAAAAAAATATCTTCAAAGTATCTTTCGTGTGCGGTGCTCGTCCCTTGGGGGCCTTCTTATGGGGAAATCATTTTCATTTGCCAGCTTTTTTCGGGTCTATGCATAAGTGTAAAGGGTGCGATGTTTATCTTAAGTAGAAAGAGACGAGTTCTTGGAAATATATATTTTTAGAGCGCATTCAAAGTTCGACTTTATCTTGTCCAAAATATTCCAAAAATTCTCTTGTTCCATTCAGGATATTTACATATGAATGAACTGTGCCAGAGAACAGAACACATCAATAAAGTAATTTCATATTAATTTTCTCCGGTTGGCGTGGAAATATTTTGTGTGACCCTCTTCAAGGGACTTGTCTTGCCCTCATTTTTATTTGATTTACTCGGGAATTTGTTTGCCTTAATTATTACACATTTTTGTTGGTTCCAAGAGGAATTCAATTTGAGACGTGCGATGGGTGTTTTTTGCAGATTTTTGTTGAGTAAATGTTAGATGTGGCAACCAGTTGAAAAGATTGATTTTTTGCATAATTTTATAGATTTTACAAGAGCTTCCTTTTCATCTCTTCAGAGAGGACTCTATTTTCTAGTTCTAAAATATCTTCCATGTATATTCTGCCTGCCAAAGACACATTTTGCCACTGGATTTTCCCCTCTAATAACCTTTCAGTAGCCAGAAATCCTGGCAATTCCAATGTGCATTGATAGCTCTATTCATTTCAATGCAGAGAGCTTCATATGCACACACGCTGTTCTTTTTTATCCTCGAGGCAAAAATGGAGAGAAATAATATTCAAGAAAAAAAAAATAGCAGACCAGAGACATTGGAGCGGAGCTCCAGCTGCAGTTTGCCACAAAATCCCATAAATCTCTTTTTCTTTATTTTTGCTCAATTTTTTTTCCGAAGCCAACATTTCTCTTTCAGCTTTTTGTTTCAGTTTTCGTTTATCGACTTGTTTTTCAATCTGTTAAATCGCATAAACACGGCTGAGAGAGTGCTGCATGTAGAACTGGTAAGAGAGGGGCATATGGGTGTTGGTGTCTGTGTGGCATGCCATTGTTTTATCCGCGCCACAGCCCCGCCACTCACGTCTCGGTCTCGGTCTGGTCTCCGGACTCTGTGCCACCTGTCTCGTCAGCTATGCATCGCTGCAGTTGTTCACCTCGACGTGTGGCATTATTAACGCTCCACCATGCCACAACACAAAAAGAACTGAAACAATAACCTACAATGAGAACAAGAAATAAAAGCGCAGCTTGAGGGCTCGAAGCTTCAGATACCCTAAAATTTAGTCGAGACATTACTAAAGCTGTATCTTTTGTTTGTATTCTTTTTAGGAACCACAAAAAAGGAATTTTTATCGACAACTATATTATATAGTGATCCCATTTTAATCAAATTTCTTAGAAATATTTCAAAAACATCTATAACTATAAAAGGTTTCAGAAAAATTTCAAACTATGGCAATCAGCTTTTGGCTTTATAATCATTTTTTTCGAATTATACTTTCCTCTTCAGCTATTGCTATAATATCTGCTATGTGGGGAAAAAGAATATTCTGTTATGAGAGTTTTTTTAAATTGTTATGATATTTTTTTACTGAAATATTTATTAAAAGACTAATAGGAAAAGTCATTGAAAAGAGTTTGCGGAATTTTCCTAGTACTTTTCTGGGTTTTTTTAGTAGTTTTTATACTGAAAGGTCTTCGGAGGTATTATTTCTTGTATTTTATTTGAATATTAATCAGCACATATCTAGCCCTCTATATAGTCTCTGTGGTGCCGAACATCTCGTCGTATGGCCAGGGTAAACGCACACAAACAACCACCATTTGTATTGGTGCCATTGGGGCTGGCGGTTGGGGGTTAACCAAATTAAAGTCGCCTCTTGTTGAATTCTCGCTTTTTCACAGTTTGTGCAACATTTCTCCGATAGTTTGTTGTTTTTTTAAATTAAGTTGTCAAGGTGGTAATCACTGCCGCACGACTGACACCACCAGCAGCGGCAGCATTGCGCGGAAATGAAATTATCTGACAGTTGTTTTCCCCTCTTCATGTTGTTGGTGTTGTTGCAGTTGGTGTCACTGTAGCGCTTCTGTCAGCGCAACCATAATTAAAAAGAAAGAATGAAACAAAGGAAAAATAAAAGGACAAAAGGGACAGCCGAGACGTGTAAACTATGGAATGACGTCCTTTGGGTCGTCCTGTAAGGGTTGCATGTTTGCATGTGTACTGGGGAAATCAGTGGCGAGAGAAGAAGAATGCCCATGCCCCTTGTGGCATCGAATGGCGGAATCACTTTACATTGTATAGCATACGAGTATATATGTTATCATTTGCGTGGATATTACTATTAGGTATTAATAATAATCTACATAAAAATATCTTATTCTTCAATAAGTTATGAATAATTTTCAGATTATCTCCGTTCGCTAGAACTACAGACATATTTATTCCCTTAATAGCCCATAAATTCCTCCAAGAAACCAAAGCCCCCCTCCACATTCCCTGGCGTTTATGATTAAATAGTTTATAGGCTTTTAATTTCCCCATTAACCAATCCTGCGGAATGTCAAGGCCAGTATTGAGCCCTGCCTTGAGTCCTTAAATTCCCATTAAAGCTTGATCCCTGGCGGGAGTCAAAGGGTAAGAGGCGACAATTCCAACAAACTTAATCACAAAAATAGCACCCTTTCGACTGTCGTCCCATGTGTCCCTGAACGCCGTCACAGCTCCCCGCCCCGCCTCCCCCCAGACGGAATGAATGAATGAAAACATCAAAGTCCCCTAAGCCGCTTAGCTAACCCCAAATCCCATCTGCGTGTGCGGGACCATGTGACCGGTTCCGAGAGTTCTGGTCCAACTTTTAAAAAACCAAAAAAAAAAAACATAGTTTCGCAACGAATCCACGTTGCCTGCCTGCCCTGCCGGTCCAAGGTATATGCCACACGGCCACGTGAATTTTGCGCTCTTCAGCGGAAAGTTATTTATATCAAGGACAGGGTTAGAGGCTGTGTGGAATATTCAGGATATTTTTGAATACCTCAATCCAACACGGTTATGCAATTGCAGGGGAACGTAATCCACCTTTGATTGCATTGCTTCAAAATAAACAAAAATCAATGGTTTCTTTGGAAGAGCCAACAACAATTACCAATTATACACGTTATACGTCTTTAGAAGGAAGGGTAATGGCATATGTCCTTTGAAATGCTAATGCTTGAATAGTTTAAAGTTAACCATTAATATTTATATATGACTCCTACAAATTGAATATATTAGGTAAAATAAAATCAAATAAAAAATAAATTATTCCCAAAGCAGCTCAAATTGTATCTATCGTTAAATCGATAGGCAGATAAAAATACTCGATTAATGAACATATTTACAAATACAATTTATCTTCAGCATAATCGTTGAAGCGAAGCTTTTTGATTGTGCAAAAAAGTTGGATACAAAATAAAAAAAATAAAACAATACAAAAAGACATTTAGCATTGAAAAATACTTTTGACTAGAGGGAACACATCAGGCGCTTAGAGAGTGTCCTCGGACGGGACTTCCAGGTTGAGGCAGTTTATCCAGAAACGGTCAATGGTGTTGTACAAATGGGGCAGCGCATTACCAATGCTGTGGTTCTCATCGGTATAGGTCTTTCGGAGAGTTTTCGAAATCACATATATTTTGAAAAGAAACAACAAATGTAGGACCACGTACCTGCTCTTCGAACTGAATATCTGCTCGTTGGAGCAATTTGGCCAGCAACAGGGAATGCTGGTAGTGTACGTTATCGTCTCCCGATCCATGAATCAATAGGAAGTCATGGGTATTGAAGTTTTCCAAGTTCTGGAAGGCACTGCTCTCATTATATCTGTTATTCACATCCGTTGGCAGACCCATATAACGCTCCGTATATATTGTATCTGCAAGGAAATCAAATTAGAACATGTTTTAATCTGATAAGAGGATCTACAAACCGTAATACAACCAGGAGGTTACTGGCGCCACCGACACACCGCACTGGAAGATGCGTTTGTCATCCTTTTCAATAGTTTTAGCCGTCATATAACCGCCATACGACCATCCCCAAATGCCACAACGTTCGGCATCCACATAGGGTAGATTCCGTTGCATCCACTCGGTGACATACAGCTGATCCTCCACCTCGTGATCCCCCAGATCGTTGTTGACCGAAAAGAGCAGATCTTTGCCCTTGTTGCCCGTACCCCTGCCATCGATGTACGCATAGATGGTATTCCTGGCGGTGGTCACAAATGCCTCGTAGCCCACCAAAAATCCATTGGTGACACGCACAGAATTCGGACCCTGATAGACCACCACAATCAGTGGATACTTCTTTGACTCATCAAAGTGGGGGGGCAGCGCGAGCTTGGCGTATCCAATGCTGCCATCTGCCAGGGTCACATTCAAGAATTTATAGCTCGGACGCTGTTTCTCCGCCAGCTTGGCGCGATACGCGGTATTCAGTTCCCAGTCGGTTACCAGCGTGTTTTTGGTTGCCTCAAAGATGCGGGTATACGAGGGATTGGGGCCGCTGCAGGAGAGTGTGTAGTAGGCGAAGGACTTGCTGAAGGTAGCGCTGGCCGAGAGACATTCCTGGCCATCCACATCTATCTGATTGCAGCTCAGACAATCGTCGTTGCTGTAGACATGATAAACCGAGGGATCACTCGCCTTTGTGGCCTGGTAGTATCTAAAATAGAGATAAAACAGAGGTTATATATATCTCAGGCTTTTTATTGCCACTTCTACTCACAATTTATCATTCACTTCATCGTATCCGTAGACGTTGAGGACCGTAAAGTTTCCTCTCGATTGCCAGCTGTTGACCCCCGTCTCCAGATTCAAATTCCACACCTGATACCAATTGCCGATGTAGTAGGCGAAGATGCAGCTCTGTCCACTGCCCAGGCACTTGGGTGTGCTAATGTCCACCCATCCTTGAGGCTCCTCCAGACGTGTCACCTCCACGCAGACACCCAAATGGCTGCAGCTCTGAATGGAGGACAGGTTCTGGCGACGGTTCATCCAGGTGATGAGCAAATGCGTGTTGTTGGACCACACAACATTCTGCAGAATGTGATCGCTGCTCACAACATCAATGGGGGCCACAATACGTTGCATTGTGGGATCATTGTCGGTGACATCGTACACCCGAAGGCTCACAACGGGGTTCTTGGTGCCAGTCTTTGGGTACTTGAGATGCTCCTCCTGCGGATACTGATAGAAGGTGGTGTCCCCGTCTCCGTAAAGGAAATAATTGAAGGTCTCCACTTCGGTGTCGTTGAAGAAGCCAACGGCCAGCTTTGTGCCGTCCGGGGACCACCAAATGGCGCTACCGCTGCTCAAAACCTCCTCCTCGTACACCCAGTCGGGCACACCATTGTACACGATCCCATCCACGCCGTCGTCCGTGATGCCAATCTCCAGGTTCTCATTGAAATGAATGTACACATTATTCAGGTAGACATACGCCAGGCGATCCCTCAGCGGGGACCATCCACAGTACTGCAGTTTCTCGCCCTTATGGATCTGAACGGATGTATTCGTCTCGATATCATACACATCGTACTGGGCGATATACGAATGCCGGAACTTCTCTGTGAGATTGTGCCGAATGAGGATCTTGGTGTTGTCAGTCGAGAGCGTGAATGTGGCGCCCACATAATTGTTCTGAAATTCTATGAATTAGTTCTTTGTCTGGCGATAAGGTGGTACGATTTTGACATTACCAGAAATGAGGAATTCTGAAATATCACATCCGTTTTGGTGGCAGCATTAAATTTATGAATGGATCTGTCGTTGGCAGTGTAATAGAATTCTTCATCTGAAACATAAAGCAGGAAATGCGACTATTAGAATCTATACAAATCTTTTAAATGACACATTAAGATTCATAGAGAAATCTATTTTGTCTGTTTTTTGTTTTTAAACTATCAAAGTGGTTGGCCTTTGATTGGTTTGCCCATTGCCAAAAGGCAAAAACCTCAAACAAATCGTAGAAAAAACCTCAAACGTAAAGACCGTAAAAGCCATGCCAAATTTCAATTACTGCTGTGGATAAAAATCAAAGCATGTGCTAGTAGATTTATTTGACATTTGATCCATTTGGTTTGGTGCCAGAAAAAGAAATAAACAAATACAAACTTTTTTGGAATTTTTTCAGGGCTATACTTAAGTGAAATATCAACTAAAAATAAAAAAGGGGAACTTTTTACACGTATTATTGATGCACAAACCCTAATTTATGGTAAAAGCACTACATAGAAAACCGGGAACCCGACAACATCGCTCTCTAATCAAAAATCAAGTGTTATCAGTGCCAGTTAATCTCTTTGTGGAAATGCCCGTTTGTTTTTTTGATGCAATCAGCTCATGATCATTCATGAAATTCCCAAAATAGACTTCACAGCCCCACACCTGACATCCATATTGACTTTCTATGATGAGATTTGGATCTCCCAACTCCATCCAATGCCTCTTCCAGCTGCCAGGCAGAGCGTGCAATGGAATTCATTGGCGGAACAAAAGTTTCGACAGTCTGATCATTACGATGAGATGTGTACTTCCACGAGGCATAAAGAGAATTACACAATATACAACGATTGAAACCAGTTTGAAATTTGTACTTGAATTGTTTGGAACAAGTCTAGGTAAAAGCTTTTTAAGAACCCTACCCAGAACTTTACGTCAGAACTCCATGAAAAAATAGCAGAAAGAGAGAAGTAAGAGCAGTAAGAGTACGGGTTTTATCTCGATAGCAGCCATTATAGTAAACCGCAGAACCGTGCGATAAGAAGAGGAATACGTGTATCAGCACATACATATGTAGCTTAGGCGACTAACTAGTGATCGTAATTCATCGAAGATTAGATTGTAGTCTCAAAATACAATGCCTATAATGTAATATAGGACTCTTGAGGAGTGTGCAGAAAGCTCGGCAACAATGGAACCCAAGGTTATACAATGATCAGGGCCTGAGTGAAAGTAATGCCAATAGGGAAATGACCCAACTCTACATGAATAGACTACATAATTGCGTTTTTGTTGATAAGAAAGGCAACAGCAGCAGCCGCCGCCGGCCGCCCGCTGGGGCATTGTCACTGATTGTGCACACTCTGGTGAAAATTCCCCCCTGGGGAATTCTCAGGATGATACAAAAACAAGCAAACAGATAAACAGCACACTTCTGGGTCATCGAACACTAACCTGTTATCCAGGTTCCATTGAAACCAAGGAGACCCGCAGTGCCGGATAGGGCCTCCGTTAGGTCCCAGATAGTTTGATTCGCGCTGCTCTCCTCCCTCCTGTTGATCACAGCGCCCTGCGAGACGGACAGGCAGAGCAGCAGCAGCAGAACGACCCCCGTTAGTTGCAATTTCACGTGCATTTTCGTTATTTTCCCCACTTGTTACACGCAAAATCAAGTGCGACTAATTCCCCCCTCTCAACGCGCAACAGCTAACATACACCGCACACGGCCAAAAGGCAAGTGAATCGGAATCAGAAATCAATTTAAATCGACAATTAGCGCACGGCAATAAAATAATGACAGGGAGAGGGAGAGTGAGAAGATAACTGTAAGCCGCTCATTCAGCTTGCCGCTCGCCCTGCCAGATCGGAGAATTTAGGCATTTAATTATAATTTGAATTTAATCGTTTTGACTCAAATTTTCATGGAAGTGATTATTAATATTATTTTAATATTAATATTATGATTATTAACATATTACACATTTAAAATATTTTTCCCACCATTATGCAGCTGGCTGGCAACTCTGTGATCTCTCGATTGCTCTTGATCGATAATCGATTAAGAGTAGGCGCGCGCCTAGGAGTTTTTTTAAATATTTATGCATTTACCTGTTTTCCATTTGCCATTAAAATTCTTCAAGGGCACCTTTTGGAGCGCTTCTTTAAGTTTCCAGGGGCTCTTTGTTCTCTGTGGTACAGCGGCGGAAACTGGATAAATATCAACAATCCACAACAAAAGCAGCACAAACACATTTTTTTCCACCCGCATCTTTCGTCACGGTCGTTAAAAAGGGTTGTTTAATTCTTGGCTTCCCGAAAGCAACTGATTTTAAGGGGAGATTTCGCTTATACTAGTGATAAAAATATTTAAATGAAATGCGCGGAAGAGCTGCCACCCTGGCGGCTAAACTCTAAGATGTGGCAGCACCCACACAATGTATTTGCAACGAATAAATAAATACCCTTTTGCTTACTGTGTATATTTTTATTACTTTTATTCTTAATCTTAACACTTTTGCTTGTTTGCATATATTTTAAATGTGTAGGGTATTAAATTGTATTAAATTAAATTGTTGGACACCAAATCGACTTTAAAAAATTTCAAAAATTTGACAAATATTAATGCGTCGCGATCCTGAAAACTACAAACTTTGATTTGCTTAAAAATATCCGAAAATTCTGCTCACTGCTGTGGCTGCCCGGAATCTGGTTGCGCATGGTGGTGCATCTGCTGGGTCGGCTGAGGTCGGGCCTCCCACTGCATGAAGCGGTTGAGGATCAGGGTCTGATTCTCCAGTACCTTGGGGAAGAAGGTCTGCATCAAGTCCAGCTTCCGTTCCTCCAGCTCCAAACGTTGACGGGATATCTTTGTCTGTTCGGCGATCAGCTGGGTATTCCGACGCACCTCCTCCATGTACAGGGCCTCCAGGGAGTCGGCCGCTAGGGTATTCGACGATCCAAAGGGACGACCGCGTCTCCGCGGTGCCGGTGCGGGCGAGCTCATCCCGACTGTTCCTCCATTGGCATTGGTGGCCACACTGATCGTGTTGTTGCTGCTGTTGATGTACGCCACGGCGGTGATCGGCTGATGATTGATGGTCGCGGCGGTTCCATTGCTGCTGCTGTTTGTGTAGACACTTGGCTGCGGTTGCTGCTGCTGCTGCGGCTGTGATCCTGGCTGTTGGATCTGCTGCTGTTGCTCTGTGGGCAGCTGCAATGGTTGCTGCTGCTGCTGAAATTGTTGCCCGTATCCGGGTTGAAATTGTGGCTGCTGCTGTTGCTGTTGGAGTTGCTGCTGTTGTATCTGCTGTGGCGTCTGCAGCTCGAGCAATTGAGCTGGCTCGGCTGGCGAATACTGTTGGAGTGGCTCCTGGAAGGGTATCGAACGATACTCGTCGTCCTCGTACTCCTGCTTCACCGCCTCATCGTACTGATCCGTAAATAGTTCCGTATTGAAGCTCATCCCACCGCCGCCGCTGTTGTTGTTGTTGTGGCTGCTGCTGTTGTTGCTGTTGCTGCTGTTGTTGTAGAAGCTGGTGGCCGCCGTCGCCTCTGTGGTGAGATTGAGACCTTGCTGCTGCGGCTGGGGAGTCATATTCTCCCTGGGCGGAGTCATATCGCGATTGTTAAGCAGTGCACCCGGGGGCAAGGGTTCGGCATCCTTCGGCCTGTGTAGGTTCTTCAGTATTCGATTGATAATGTCGTACTTCTTCCAGCGATTGGGATAACTGGTGGGATCCGACAGCAGCTGCTTCTTCACCGATCTAGCCCATACAGAGATAGCGGGCATTGAAATAATATGAAAAGTGTGTTCCCTCGATTCACGGACTCACCTGAACTTGGCCCTCGTCTGGTTAACCTTCATCTGTATCTCCTCGGGCTTCACATCCACCCCGAAACGTTCGCGCAACTCCTCCGCCCACTGAGCAAAGAATATCGTATTCTTGCCATTCCGCGTCAGACGCCAGTTGTCGCGGCCCCAGATCTCGTAGAGACGCTCCTCCTCGCTAGGCGTCCAGTAGCGACGTGCCTTCTCCTTGGCCTTGCCCTCCAGCATATCCTGACCCCCGCACATGTTCAGATCCGACGCCTCGGCGTTGTTCGTCCCGCTGCCGGATGCGCTGCCGCCACCACCGCCGTAGTCCATAGGCACCGCTGCAGGCTTAGTGCGTTGTTAGTTTGATGCAGTGTGTCCCACGTTCCCGATTCCGTGTTCGCACGGAAAATTACACAATACTTTGATGCATTCGGAATACTGTGAGGAAGCCAAAAAGATTTTTTGCAAAAAAAATCAACAACAGTGCTGATACATAGAACAAGGTTGCCGTATCTTCGTTAAAATACTGTTGGCGCTGCCACTTCCTCAGCAGCAAAGCAGTAAAATACATTTAATTTCAATAAAATGCAGTTTACTAGTGCAAACAAAATCATCAATCATTTTAAACAGATATATCATGATTCTTTCAAATATATTTTTACCACTTTGTTATATTATTACACTTTCTCACTAACGCGTTGCGTTGGTATTTTTCCCAATGTTTTCGGTATATTCTTTTTGGCATTTCCACGCCGACATCTTTTGGTCCTCAGTCACGTACAAAAATGTTTGGATAAATTGCACACAAATTTAAAAAAAAAAATGAGCGGTGGAAAGCATATGCGGTTGCGCTACTATACCTCCATGGAGGAGGTCACCATGGTGCGGGTGTGGCGTGAGTTTCTCGACCTGATACCCTCGTACAGCGAGAATCTGCCCATCTTTCGGGACATTTCACACAGCATGCAGCAATGCGGCATTCGGCTGAACAAACAAGAGGTTCGCCGTCGCATCAATAGCTATCGCAATAAGTATTTGTAGGTATAACACCCACTGCCACTGCAGATTCCACTAACATCTCTGTTGCCTTTTGCAGAACGGAACGGAGTCGCGTGGAGGGCGATCCGGAGTACACACCGGAATGGCGTCTGTACCAGATTGTAGACTGCCTTTTCAATCCAGAGCGACCCTCGGTGGACATTCACCTGGTACAGAATGTGCTCGAGTCGGCGGCCATGCAGGTGCGCAGCGAGCATCCGGATCTGCCGAACATACCTAGCTCAATGTCCAGGGCACCTTATGTGAAGTTCAATCGCGATCCGGACGGCTGTGCCTTCCTGGAGGGCCCATCACCAACACCGCCGCAACAGACCCAGAATTTTCCCGAAATGCTGCACTTTTCTCAGAATCCAGTCAAGACTGAACCCAAGCCGCTTGAGGCGGACGAAGCCGACAGTCCAACTTACGCAGAGAGTGCCATACGACGGACACCCTTGATGCCCGCCAATTATCAGCTCCAGCTACCCGTGGAGGAGCGCATGGAGATGGGGGCGAATGGTCAGATGGAGTACGTTGGAAAGAAAAAGCGCGGACGGCGCAGCATTTTGCCGCGCGTGGGACAGATCTCGCTGGCCCAATTGGAGGCCTTGCGCATGCAGAACGGAGAGCTGGAGCGGCAGAATGAGAACAGCCAGATGGAGTTGGAGTTCAAGGAGCGGCAATACAACGAGCTAGAGCAGACCCTCGACCTCTGGATGCACCAGCAAGAGATGTTTTTGCTCCACTTTGAGCGCCTGGGCTTCAAAACCGCGGAGGACTAGCCTCCCCTTTCAAACCCCTCTTCGTTGATCTATTGAATAGTTAGCTTTAATTGTGGGAAAAAAAACTCCAGCTCATACGATGTACAAACCACCTTATAGGCTATAGCGAACCGAAGATACATTTACGGTCTAATTTTTTGGATCAGTTTATTTGTCATTTAAGAACTAGTCAAAATGAATTGACAGCTAAACTACTTATAGAAGAGATTTCTGGAACTTTTAGTTTAATTTTCAGTTCAATAACTAATACTTAAGCTCTAAACAATTTGCAGGAAGCAAAATACATATGTTTTAAGTTCATTTTTGATTCGCTTGAAATTTAAGCAATGAAGAAGTTGGAAAATGAGAAATTACTATTTAATTTTTGGAGATATTTTTCTGAATGAATATGTACATATATAAAACTTTTCGATCCCCGATTATTATATATATTTCAAAATCAATATTTTCAAAGGGTTTATTTCCGATCAGATCGAATCTTTATCTAGTATTACGTTGACTTTGCAGATAATTCTATCAATGAAAGTGTTCTATAGAGTGAAGTGTGTGCTAGTAATCTATTAGTTTAGATAATTATCTATATATTCACAGGCTTTTATTTTTGATCAGATCTATCTTTATATCCAAGGCTATAGGAAATGGAAATCTCTTAAAATCGTATTGCCGCTGCTACATTCTACATGTATAATTTTGTTACACCATAACTACACTACATCCATTAGACGTCCCTCAAAGAAGTTCAAATTATGGCAATAAAATGCGTTTTTCAGCCTTTGATATAATAAATTTTTAAAAAAATATTCTTGCTTTTCTTGTGCTCGACTATTCCCTAAAGTTACAGTGTAGTGTAAAGTGCCCCTAAAATTACTATTTTACAGAATACATGGCTTTAACTGAGGCCTGCACTAGAGCCATCTATCGGCCTCCTCCTCTTGGACCACCGCCCACGAAATTTTAAGGATTTTTAAAGCAACACCTGTCTGCCACCCTTAAGTGGTTGCCCCTCACCCTCCACCCTTGTGTCTGTGGGTCAGCGTGAAAGTGAATTTCCTGTGGGCGGATATTTTTTCTTTCTTTTACGGTAAAATTAATTGCCTTCTGATAACAGACCGTTAGAAAGTCCCATCTGGCTTTAATTGAAAGTACTTTCGTTTCCGGAAGACCATGCTGTTTAGAAAATTGGATTTCAATTGTTTTTGGTATAAAAAGTGCGCCAAAAAATAAATAAAATTGTATAATAAATCTGAAATCTGTGAAAACAACCTAAGCCTTTCAGATCTTGCTAATCCTATTGGATGTTGCATTTCTATCTCTCTATTTAAATGAAGCCGCCCCCCCATTCGGTGGCAATAAAGAGATACTCTATCTACCCCATTCGGTGGCATCAGAGCGGAAAAGATTGAAATGTTAAGTTGAAAAAAAGTTTTGCTTAACGAGGCAATGATTGATTGATTGACTGTTGCCGGACACAGCACTGGTGAGGGGGAAAAGGCGGCACCAATGCTAATCATATATCAGCATGAAAGTGGCGTGAGGACATGGACATGGATAAAAAAAGATAAAGAGAAGGCAGAACGCCTGGCAATTATGTCCAATTAGAGATTGTGGCATCTTTGGCCATTTGAGAGATGCTCTAATTGATAGTTTTGCGCCTCTAAGACAAATATCTTGGCAACACGACACTTTAGAGCGGGGCAAAAGAGCAAGATCAGCAGAACAGGAAATATTTGAATGTATGGAAAGCGACCAAGATGGCAAATGGCACTAGGCTGTGGGCTGGAGGGACTAGGACAACAAAAGACGCTCTCTGGCGGCAGAATATCAACAGGTGCTAAATATCAGAGAAATTCCTACGTTTTAGAACAAGTTACAGGCTATATTTAGTACCAATCACTCTTCTACCACACTCTTCTGTCCACAGATTCCAGTCGTAAGGTGGTAGCTCTGGTATTCCCCTTGTATTCCATTAAAAGTATCTTATACCCAATTTACCTTCTCGTGTTTTCGCACCATGTAACGATGAGCGTAACGTTCTCGTCAAGTGGTGCAACAAATATATATTATGAATTATGTCCCTCAAAATGAGGCCTTTTGTTGTTTGCACCTAATATCCTTATACCATGCAGTCGGAACTCAGCAATCATACGCAAAAATGAGCTAGGAGGAGCTAAGAGCAGGCTCTCCATTGCCGAGTATATTCAATAAAACACATGTTTCTCTTCCTTTGTAGTCAGGGTAGAAATATATTTAAGGTATATCGGTATATATTGGTACTTTTCATCTAAAACATTTTCAATTACATTCTTGTCTCATTCACTTTCAAACAATTCCAATTTTGCGCGCCCAACCTTCGAATCGGTTTTTGGCTCTCTTTACTCTCTTCTAAGACGTTAAGTCTCTCTTATTCGCTCTCTTTGAATCGGTATAAGTCGGTAGCAACAATGAGTCACAATCCAGACGTTTTTCCCGTTGGCAACATATAATTTGTTTGGAAACGGGCAACATTCTCTATACCCTGGAGCATAGGATATTATAGAATTTAGGAAATGTTTGTCAATGCAGGCCCCAATATGTGTAGAACCTAGTCAGTCTCTGTTTTAAAGCTATCACAACGAAATCACAACAAGAATTGGTATTGGGATCAGTATATATATACAAAAGACACTATAAAAAGTACAACTAAAACGTATCAATTTGAGAAAATTTCTTTATTAAGTACGTTCCACAACAGTTTTCATCTTTATATGAAATTAACTAAATAGGGTATAAAAATGCGATTACTCCTGTTGACAAGCAACAAGTCTTCAAATACCAGCAACATTTAAGAAATGACGTGACATTCCTTACGTCGCCCCTGATTATTTGTCGAACATTTTTGTTTAAACCTTGTTTTACACACCATACAATAAAAGCCAGTACTTAAAAGTAGCATATCTTGCGGAAAATGCATTCATCAATAGGATAAAATTATATGGGCAGAGGTTAGAACTTTATTTAGTCAGCATTATTCAACGGAATATCAAAATTGAGCAATAGGAACGATTTTTCCCTTACGTTTTATTTGCTTGACCTTTTTCGCCAAAAACCAATGTTTTTAGACAAAATCCAAACAAAGGGAGTCCTAAAAACTAGCCAGTCAATTAGAAAATGTATTCATTATTCAGATAAAATTAGGTGTTCAGGGCTGAAGGTCTTAGCTAGCTAATAATCCCACAACGAATATCAAAATTGAGGAATAGGATTCCAATTGTGACAACGCACATTAACCCATTGCCGACCAGTGGGGCTTGGAGAATATTTTTTGCACGAAAATTATGAATCTTCAAGAACTATAGTGCAGTTTAGGTGTTATATATAGTGATTTTATTGTAAGCAAAGATAAAGGAGAGGAAAGACCTAAAAGAGCAATTATTATTTTTATTCATGGTACTAGTTTCCGCGGTGTAACTCAAGTTGTTATCATGATTAAACAAAGGGGGCTTCAGTGGGCTAAGTTCGTTTCTCCATCCTATGTAGTTTGAAAATGAGAGGGGTATATTATCACTGTTCGTCGTGTCGTGCGGGCGTTATTCGCGCGCGTTGACAACAAACAAGAAATATCCGTGAAACAGACATTTCTCGGGCGAATAAGAAATGTTTATTACGACAAACACAAAAGCAACAACGTAACAAAACAAGAGGGAGAAAGCAGCAGTGTCAAGTGCGTGTGTGCTCGAAGGTGTGTAAAGAGAGAGAAAGCCAAAAGGAGAAGCGTGACAGAGCGACGGGCTCTTAAATAAATTTCGCAGATCCCAAAAATAAAACCAAAAATCCGTAATTGCAAAGGAAAAACAAATGTAATGCAATAATTTATGTGTGATGTTTGAGAGTGTATTTGTCTGGGTGTTTGTGTTTACTGTTCCGTTGTGTGTTTTTAGAAACAAACACAAAAATTGGCTGGCATTCCAATATGAAATTTCGTTGTTTTTGCCGCTGCATCAGCTGGCGATGACTCTCTTACCATCTGTCTACCCCCTCTCTACAATCAACTAACCCCTTCCCCTTTCTTTTTGTGTCTCCCTCGTGCATTTAACATTTGGGTGTAAAAAAAATATTTTCCTTTTCTGCGCTTACATTCTGAATCTAAGCTTATCGCTCTTTCTCTCTGTTCCTTAAACCAAAGTCACACAACAACAAAAAGAATAAAAATAAGGCTAATAGGGAGTCGAAGATGACGGTACCCTGGTAAAAGTCAGCTTTGCGATAAAGTCATAGAGTTTTAATTCAATTCATCAGAATGAAGTAGCTGCGTTTCGAAACCGAGCTCTGAACGTTTGGATGGATTATCTTTAGAAGAAAACAACCATTTTCTCTTTGAGATTGTTCACTCTCAGTTGATACAAACGGTTATATAGCATAGCTTATAGTTTTTATCTCCGCGACTGCGGATTTGCGTGCATGCATTTATAAACTGTATAGGATCGGCACTCCTCACTTCTGTGGTTTGGCAAAATCGAATCGAAATAGTAACACTCTCTTGCAAAAGGGTATCCAAAAACCCGTTCCATTTCGCCTTCTCTCTTGCCTCTTGCCCGGCCCGCTCTTCTTGCTCTTAGCGTCACGCCTTTTATGTGGTTTTTGTTGTTGCTTTATTTAATCGCCCGGCCCCGTTACCCCCCTCCCCTCCCCAGCCATACATACATTCATTCATAGAAAAAAAGCAACAACAAAAAAGCAACGCGATTTCTTTTATTTTCACCCAAAAAATACAACAAAAATAATCAAATAAATGCAGAAATAAATCAAAAGAAATCAAATTTCAAATTCGTGCAACCAAAAAAAAATTACAATTATCCAAAATCATCGCCAATTGCCTTTTTTGTTGTTTTTTGGTTGTTGCTTCTTTTTACACGTGTTCACGTGTCTCTGTGTTTGTGTGTGTGTGTGTCTGCCTCGGTGTTTGCCTGCGAGTGTGTTTGTGTGATGTAAGTTTATTTAACCAAACAGAAAATAATAAAAAATTGTATCTTATGTATAGCTGTATAGCTGGCGCTATTGTTGGGGAGCCTCCAATTTTTTGTGATATTTGTTTGCTCATTTGACTTTCGTTTCGTTTTCCGCTCGCTTCGGGGGAGGGCGAACATGAGTATTTTGACACCCTCGCATGTGAGGTCTGATAGGTTTTGGCAAACGTTTTGGATGTATTGTAGAGCTGGAGAGTTTTTGGAAGGGTATCTAGTGCGTAGTAGTCTCTTACTTCATCTCTTTATCTCTCTTTATCGCCACTAAAAGTTCAT